AATTCCAGTCGAATCCATTCACTTATGTAGCAAGGGTACGAATCCTCTTCTTCTCTCCCCACCAACTATGGGTAAATAGCAAGACAGACTGAGTTCTATAGCCTTGGGTGGCAACCGGTCTAGGAGAAAGTAACTCTTAATTCAAAACTGTATGTAACCCTGACATGGCATATTTACTTTTGGAAATTTTCAAAACATCAGAATCATTAGCATTTTAACCTAAAAAATTTATTTATAATCTTTCCATATTAAATGCATATATCTTTTATATTTTCAATACTTTTAATAAATGTAAATTTCTGTATCTAATTAAATTTAGTTAAAAAATTAGTTTAAAAAAATGGACATTTTTTTTAACAAAAAATCGGAAATTTCTTTTTAAGACCGTCAAAATAAACATGAAAAAAATCAAAATATTCAAAAAAAAAAAAAATATAACAGTGGCAAACATTCAAATAAGCGTTTTTATTATCTGCTTATATTATGAAATTTATCTCTTTATAACCGTCCATTTTTTAACATGACATTAATACTTGTCAAATAAAGTAGTTACACATTTTCAATTTTTAAATTTTAGAATATTTTTAATTAATCGGTAAGTATAAAAAAATCAATTTTCAATTACTTTGGTTAAACTAAAGAATGTTTTGCCGCACTAATCGAGTATTATGCATGCATTAATCGAGGGATGCCTTAACGCCTTCTTGTTATCCACGACAATACATATATATATATCTGAATTCTTTTAATTCCCAGCAGTGTTTCGAATATCCTTAGACATTCTTCTAATATCGCCAAATCCATTATCTTTAGAAACGTTGTCACTATCATTATTTTACTATATTTGGATTATTTTTACTCCCACCACAAAGACATCTGTCTTTAGCTTTTTTCATCAGTCAGTCACTTATGATACACTCTTAGGCGATCATGTATCTTTCGATACATGACTGACAAGGCAGATTTTTCTCGCAGTAGATTGCCATTTCTTTCTGCGGTAGACCAGTTGCCATCCAAGGCTATAGAACTCGGTCTGTCCTGCTATTTATCCATAGCTGGGGGGGGGAAGAGGATTCATACCTTTCTCAAGGGTATTAGCACGTCAGTCAGTCTGATATGTGCCATGCGTGATACATGCTTAGGCGATTTACCCATAGCTGAGTTGAGAAGAAGAGGATTCATACCTTTCCCAAGGGTATTAGCACGTAAGTGAACGTAATGAATTCGACTGGAATTCGAACTCGGCTCTCCGATTCCTCAGTCCGAGCCACTATCCACTATTCCACTTCTTTTATCACCATCTCAGTTACCATCGTCTATAGAGATTTTTGTTATAACTATCAATACTACTACGGTTGGTTTTCTTTTACCATGAATACCATTTAACCTGTCATGCTTCACCATCAGTGTCTCTTTACCATCGTTATAAATACCCAGGAGTTGGATTCCTTTTATTATGAATACCATTTAGCTTATCCATGACCCACCATCGCCAATACAACGATACTTAGAGGCGGTAATAATATCTATATATATATGAATTTCTTTTTGCCCCAACCATTAATAAGACATCGTTGAACGTTTTTGCTACCATTTGCTGAACTTGAATCATTAGAGACCATTTCTCATTACTACCAAAATGTTGATTTGCATTTTAAAACTGCCAACGATATAATTATCACCAATACGATCAACGTTAGACTTTATTTACTTATCACTACCAATACGACGACTATTTCCTCGCCACTGCAAATGCCCTTTGATGATTTTTACAGCCAACACGGATACCACAAAACCTAGAGTCTTTAATTATCATTACCAATTCGACTCTACTTTGTCTCTTTTTACTACCATTGCGCATGCGGCTATCCTTGTAATTGTTTTTACCATGACGATTAACTTGGATTGTTTTTATTCTCACACCATCTACAACTATCGTATTCCCATGCTCTATATGACTGCCTTTAACGTGTTCGTATTCCCACGCCCTGTATGACTGTCTTTAACTTGTTCGTATTCCCACGCCCTGTACGACTGCCATTAGCTAGTTCTTATTCCCACACCCTGTACGACTGCCTTTAACTTGTTCGTATTCCCACGCTCTGTATGACTGCCTTTAGCTTGTTCGTATTCCCACGCTCTATACGACTGCCTTTAACTTGTTCGTATTCTCACACTCTGTACGACTGCCTTTAACTTGTTCGTATTCCCACGCTCTACACGACTGCCTTTAGCTTGTTCGTATTTCCCACGCCCTGTCCGACTGCCTTAAACTTGTTCGTATTCCCACGCTCTATACGACTGCCTTTAACTAGTTCGTATTCCCACGCCCTGTATGACTGCCTTTAGCTTGTTCGTATTCCCACGCCCTGTCCGACTGCCTTAAACTTGTTCGTATTCCCACGCTCTATACGACTGCCTTTAACTAGTTCGTATTCCCACGCCCTGTATGACTGCCTTTAGCTTGTTCGTATTCCCATGCTCTATACGACTGTCCATGGATTTTTTGACACTTCCACCAATGCAACCATTGAGTTATTTCACTATTACCACCAATATTACTCTTGTTCGATGCCTATTCTTCTTATCGCCATTTTGTATCTTTATCGCTTTACCACCATTGCTACTACTACTAGCATTTTACTAGTCTTTTACCATTTCCATTCGACGTGGTATAATGGCTAGCAAACTTGTCTTTTATGACTGAATAGTGAGTTCGATCCTTACTGGCTGCTCTACTGTTTTGGTTGTGTGCCACATCTAAACTACGCTTGGTAAATCACTAGGGCACCTCGGCGTGGTGTAATGGGTAGCAAGCTTGTCTCGCTAGATCAGTTACAACTGAAAAGTGAGTACGATCCTCACTAGGTGCCCCATACTTTCGGCCTTGTGCTTAGAAAATAACCCTATGAATAACTATGCTCGGATAACTTTTATCCTCATCGCTATTATATCGCTTCTTGGACTCTGTTTATTCAGTCAGTTATGTGCCACGCGTGATACACGCTCAGGCGATCATGTATCTTTCGATACATGCTTTCCGTGGCAGTTTTTTTTTCCCGCAATAGGTTGCTATTTCTTTCTGTGGTAGACCAGTTGCCATCCAAGGCTATATAACCCGTTCGGTGGGGAGAAGAAGATTCATACCTTTCCCAACGGTATTAGCACGTAAAGAGACTCTAAGTGAATGTAGTGGATCCGACTGGAATTCGAACTCGGCTCTCCGATTTCTCAATCCGAGCTGCTATACATTGTTCCAGCATTCCTAATGGCACCACCAAATTTTTTATCATCACTGTTTAACAGGACTATACTTGAATTCCTCTTACGCCCCATCACCAATTCGACTGTTCATGGACTCTTTTTACCAACATTCCTATGGCCATCATTACTTTTTTCTAACATCAATACTAATATGATTGTATTTGAGTTCATTTGGCACCCCCTCCTCCTAAACAACTGTCATTGGACTATTTCTACTACCATCCTTAGAGATTCTTTTTACTATCTCCCCTAATACGACTTAAATAGCTTGTAACTTTATATTAACACTATTTCTATAATTCGGACTGTTATCCTCATCTTTATTGTCATTTCCACGGTGTTTCGGCTGTGGTGTGCCTTCTTCAAATGATATAAGTTGGAATTTCCAACCGAAACATTTATTTCTTCCGCCGGGGTATATTGTTCTCATTCCACGTGCCATGTCTTTTCTGGATATCTCAGTTTCAGTTATTTCCCTTTAGTAATTCAACTTTCCAAGTTTTTTTGTTCACCTCTGCTGTGGCCAGGTATTGAACTCACAACTTTTTGGTCAAAGTCACTGGATTACTTCAACCAATGATTTTATCCACTGGGCTCCAAAATGCACGAACACTCTAACCCGGTGGACGAAAGAAAGGTTTCAGTTCGAAATTCCAGTGTATACCACCTGAAGAAGGCTGGAGCGTACAATGGTCGAAACGTCGTGAATTTGACAAGGACAACAGTCCCAACAATGTAAATTGTGTTGTTACAATACTTCATCTGAGAAATATAGACTGGGGATTTTAACTTTAGTTGCATTTTTACATACAAACATCAGAAGTTCGTATATAATTAAGTAATTGATGGAGAGAGGTTTACACACACACACACACATACTAGCACGCGCATGCATACACATATACACACCTATATATAGTTTTGTTTGAGAGATATATATCAACGTATATATTACCCTCTACGCACGCGCGTGTGTGTGTGTGTGCGTGTGTGTGATATCTATTTATGTGTGTGTGTGTGTGTGTGTGTGTGTGTGTGTGTGTGTGTGTGATATTTGTGTGTGTGTGTGGTGCAAAACAAATTCCTTCCAGTCAATTTAAATTAGTTTTTGAAATACAGCAAGGTATTTTTCCTATTGTAAATATTTAAATTTAATCGACTAACTTGAAATTAAAACAAAAAGAAAAGCTTCAAGAAAGATTTTTCATTTTTTTAAAATTCATTTTAAACCTCAGACATTGCGCTTTTTGTGGTGGTGGCTACTCTTATGTATGGAGGCCCCTAATTTTATCTATGGAGGTCCCTAATTTTTTCCCTACCAATAAGATTCCATTGGATTTCCACTTCTGTAAACATTACTGTACTTGAATTCTTTTTTCTACTATGAACCTCAATGAAAACCTTACCATTAAAAAAAAAACCTTTATTTGAATTAATTCAACAACCACGTTTCAAACACGTATTCCCCTGATCCTTATCGAAAATTGAAATGATTCCTACAAATTCTTGGTTTTTTGTATATCTCTTACCAACTTGACCGATATTATGATCAGTAACAGTTTTATACCATCACTATCACTTAGAATATAAGATCAGCAGTTCTCTCATAGCGTACTAATCATTGCCTTTTGTGCTATGATGCCCTCATCTCTTTGTTAGTGTTACATCCTTCACCAAAGCTATTTTAACTCAGCGCCGCCATTATTAAAACGTCTATCATCCCCAGAAAAAGAATCATGATTATCATACCACTATTCCTATCCCCATCACCACAATCGACGTCGTTTTCTTTTCACCGCCATCAACACCACTCCACTCCATTCATCCTAAACATATTCGCCGTCATGCCAACACTCGCTTACAACAGTTGGCGTCTCACATCCTCCCAATTATAACCGCTATTGCCCTCTGACCTTCTTCATAATAATCTACCTGGGGCGGAAAAAAAAAGAAGATGGTGGCAGAGAAAGGTAGGAGACTAAAAGAACTGTCTTTTACTCCAGCGTTCCCAGTATTCTACCGTCTTTTCTATTCTTTTCAAATGGTTCTTTTTTTCTTTTGCGATTTCTTCGCTTTCGATTCAATTCTATTTCTCTTCTTCTCACAAACGCTTTATGAACTTCTTTCTTATTTTTTTCTCTTCTACCGTCTCTCTATTTTTGTTTTCCTTTTCCTTTCTTTTCTTTCTTTCTTTTGCTTTATGCCCTTTCTTTTTCTTTTTCTTTTTCTTTTTTTTTTTGTCTTTCTTTTCCCCACTCTCTATGTTCTTTTATTTCCACACTTCCTCCTCCGTTCGTATCTTTTCTTTTCCACAATTCCTTTCAATTCTTTTCTCTTTTCCAGAGCATCCTAAAATTCTTCTCGGCCCCACCGGTTTCTTTCCTTTCACCATTCTTTTATCTTTTTTTCTTATTTTACCTCATTCTGCCTAGGACTTTTCCCTTCATCTTTTTACCTCATTCCGATTCGATCTTTCAAATTTGTCGTTACTTTTAAGTTCTTTCATATGTACATTTTTACTAATGAAGTCGGTCGATTGTTTTCAAAGAGTTCAATTATTTTTATCTCTGTTCATATACTAATTTTATTTTTATAATCTACTGCTAAATGTGTTTTATATTTTACATTCTCTCATTTTTCTATTTTTGGAAATGTGTATAAAAGAGCGGGAAGAGTGTGTTGCGTCAATATTCTATGTGTAGAAGGGCCAAGAATCAGTACTTTAAATACTGGCTTCTATCCTGCCTCGAACATTGACATCTGGTACTATTTGATAAGACGTATCGCATTCAAAATATCTTTACATCTTTTATTCTTTCCAGAAAATTTCTTTTTGTTTTTTTCCGCCTCTCAATTTTTTTTTTTAAATCTGTTTTGTTCTTTTTTTTTTTTCTTCTCCTTTTATTTGATTTGTCCGCCATTGTTGCAAGTTTCCATTTTGTTTTCAAATCCACCTTCCGCGCCAGCTCTTCTATTTTCTTTCTTACATTTTGACTTTTTCATTCTCTTTGGCGCCCCCCCCCCACCATCGCTTCCCTTTCTTTGAAAACGTTTCGCTGGACCCTCAAGCGAGCACGGTCTCTCCCAAACCCCGTAAATGGCGCCTATGCCCTTCTCTTGTCTTGCCATTTGGATCAGATAGGGGACATCATGTCTCTGCTATGTCAGTTGCTCTGGCGTACGAACACACGTACACACACGTACACCACACGCACATACACACACGTACGCACACATACATACACATGTACACATATGTACACATTGTGAAACTCCAGAGAGCTCAAATTCACGCAATATTCTACTCGGCAGCACCGATTATCCGCTATATACATTTGAAGTGGTATCCAAACGTTGGAGAAATTTAAACAGTTAGCATGAATAGAATGTAGTGCGGATTTTTAACGCTGCCCTACTAAAAGCAGTAACTTTTTTGGAAAGTCTGTATACTTAGTCAACGAGACGACTTTAAATATGGCGGTCAAAACTGTTCTGCAATCCATTTGGACAAATTGGTTAAATATGTTACTCGCCGTTTTACCCGTCCTTCTCATGCCTTCAGTATCTTCTGTGAGTGCTAAATTCTCTGGGACATCTTTCCTCATTATGTGTCACATATATTTATCTGTTTCCTTCTGGTTGTAAGTATACATTTCTTTGTTGACCCTCTTTTCCTTAAGTCTTTCTCGTGGCTGACATCTTCTGTCGATGAAATTCTTAGTATTCAGCACTAGATACACATCTATACCGTTCTGACTGTCTTCTGCAAGGAAGACAAAAAGAAAATTGTTAATCACTGCTACATAATATATTATATATAAAATAGAATTTCAATATTCTTTTGTGTATTTTTAATGTTATTTTCATGTCTCTTAATTCTTTACTGACACCTTTGTGCAAATTAATTGAAACAAAACGAATACCGTTATGATTTACTCTTTTTTTTTTTGGCATTTTTTTCAATAAAACATGTTAGTAGTTTGTATGTCCATTCCACGAAGTTCAGACTGACCACAGATTCTCGATTGGATTTAAATCAGGAGAGTTTTCGAGCCAGTACTTTTTGCTCACTTCTTGCTAGCGTGCTCTTGCAGCGTTAAAATGTTCGTACGCTTACTTGGAGTAACGTCCATCGAAGACAATAGTCGTAGGTCAACTAATCGACAATCGAAACAATAGTGTCTGGGTGTGATGAAAATCTGATGCAATCACGGATGACGCCATATTTTTCAAGGCCAAAAAATTTCATCATAAACCCCGAAAAGAGATTCATATTATTGCACACTACTGCAAATGACCTAATCTGAGGAAAAAATAGAAATCGATTACACCTTGTCACTCCAGTGGGTCTAAAACTGACGGTGGGGGTGAAAGAAAGGAAACTAAAGCGGTTGTTTCAATTAATTTGCACAAGGATGTAGTTTCCTGTACGCGTTCAGATTTCTCTGTCACATTTTCCATTGTCTGTTACTATATTACTCGGTTGCTATATTTAGTCTCCCTCCCACTAGGGCAACATGTGACTCGGTTGCAATATCTTTACATGCTTGTTTTTTTTTTGGGGGGGGATGTTTCCGTCGCTAATACAGAGCTCACTTCATAGTCTGTCTCTTTTGTACACGATCATGCATTCTTCCATTTATACAATCAATAATCCTTTCTTCTTGCTTTCCATTACGACATTCTCTTACAGTTATTAAAGTTTCCTTTCTGAGTGTGCCATCAGCATGATGTCATTTGCCTATCTTATATTGTTGTGTGGGTATCTACCAACAACAAATCTTGCTAGAACGTCTACTTCTCTTAGGATTGTCTCTTTCTATTTGGCTAGACTTAACTCAACTTGTTCTTTATCGACAGGCAGGTTTGTTTACAGTAAAGGAACTTGTTCTTTATCCACAGGCAGGTTTGTTTACAGTAAAGGATTACACGAATATCTTTCCTGCGTGAATCAAGATTTTCTAGTATTTTAAGTAGAATTTGATGTATTTTTTAAAGGCTTCTGTAAATCTATAAAAATTGGCTATAATTTTCTGCATTTTCTTTTCTTTTTTTTTTTTTTTTTTTTTTTAGATTCTGATCATTTGATAGTAACAGATTCAAAAAATTGATGCATTTTTAGCATTATATATAAACATACATATTCATATATATTTATATATATATATATATATATATATATATATATATATATATATATATATATATATATATATATATATATATATATATATATATATATATATATATATATATATATATATATATATACATATATATATATATATATATATATATATATATATATATATATACATATATATATATATATATATATATATATATATATATATATATATATATATATATATATATATATATATATATACATATATATATATATATATATATATATATATATATATATATATATATATATATATATATATATATATATATATATATATATATATATATATATATATATATATATATATATATATATATATATATATATATATATATATATATATATATATATATATATATATATATATATATATATATATATATATATATATATATATATATATATATATATATATATATATATATATATATATATAAAAATAGTAATCTGTACAGAATTTCCAAGAGGATATAGATCCAGGGAGGGCTCTATGTCAAGAGACAGAACAAAATTGTTAATTATTAAATATCAAACATAATTTTTATTTTATGAAAGCTATAAAAAAAAATAGCTCTCAATTTGAAGATCTGTAAAAGTGAGAGTTATTTGTTATAGCGTTCATGAAATAAAAATTATTACCTATGGGATCTTAAGTGTTTGATATATATATATATATATATATATATATGTGTGTGTGTGTGTGTGTGTATATATATATATATATATATATATATATATATATATATATCTGAGATGAGGTATTGTAACTATTTACACTATTTAGATCGTTCGACAGTTGTCCTCATCTTTATTGCCATATTCACGAGGTTTCGGGTGTTGTAGAAAAAGGCAAGGCACGTGGAACAATCTATCCCCGTGGACGAAATAAAAGGTTCGGTAAGAAATTCTAACAGACATCACCTGAAGAATGCCGGAGCGTACAACGGCCGAAACGTGCGCAATATGGCGTTAAAGATGAGGACAAAAGATTGTAGTAAATAAATAATATAAACAGTTACAATACCTTATCTCAGAGAGAGACATTTAAGTTTAGTTGCATTTTTACATACAACCATCCGAAAAATATAGTTTTACACACACACACACAGACACACATTCATATATATATATATATATATATATATAAATGTAAGCAAATGTAAATGGATATAGATCCGACAGAATGAAGAAAAATTTTGAAAAAACAAACAAAAATCCTTAAATGCAATTATGTTGTTTAAAATTAATGAAATGTCGATGTCTGATCCAACTGTTTTGGATAAGACTTGTTTTTATGTCCATCGTCTTTGTCAAATTGAATTGAATTGTATTTTAAAAGAATATTGTCCTGAAGAAGGTTTATTAAACCGAAACGTCAGACGTCGACATTTCATTCATTTTAAACAACATAATTGCATTTAAGGATTTTTGTTTGTTTTTTCAAAATTTTTCTTCATATATATATATATATATATATATATATACAAATAAAGGGTAAGAATAGACAGATTAAAATGTACCATTCTTTAGCATTTACATTTTTTTTTAAAATGGTCAATACAACGTAAAGTAAAATATAATTTAATAATATTTTTATTTGAAAAGTATTTTAAATCGCTACGCAAAAGCTTTCATGTTTCAGTACTGAAAATCTTTCCAATTCATCAGGCGATCTTTGGTAACTCATAAAAAAGATTTACTTTTGAAAACAGAAAACAATATGGTAGTTTATTTACAATTTAACAAATATATAATATTTCCAAAATAGTGAAATATTTGCATAGCAATGCTTCTGTTATATATTGTCTAATGATTGTGATCTTCAAAATTAATTTAGTCCGTTACATTCAATTAAACACCCCTCCCCAATGTATATATATATATATGTGTGTGTGTGTGTGTGTGTGTACATAAATTCCCAAGAGGATAGAATCCAGGTAGAACTCAATGTCCAGGACAGAGTAAGAATATAATATAAAAAGCCCAACCACTGATATTCCTATTCCATGGTTATAATTTATTACATTGGAATCCTAATCACGGTCCAATTCATCAGACCTACAATTTATATGTCTGATGATTGGATCGTGATTACGATTCATATGTAATAAATTATAAACATGGAATATTAGTGTTTGAGCCTTTTTATTATATATATATATATATATATATATATATATATATATATATATATATATATATATATGGGATGGCGTCTAAATTACGCAAAAGTGAAAATAG